CAGGGGTCAGAGCAAGGGCCAGTGCAAGGAACACAGGGCCAGCACGGGGGTGAACTTTCTCACAGAGCCGTCCAACAGAGCTCCGGGAGGTGGTGAGCGCTGTGCCGTGAAGGTGTGCAAGCAGAGCAGCTGTGCCAGAGAGCACCCCGGAACATGCAGTCCCCTCTCACAGACACTGTCTCAGACTGGATGCTGCTGTCCCTGGGGACGTTCGCCTGCCTCCCAGGGGGCCTCCTGTCGTGTCCATCCTGTGGGGTGAGCCAGACGCCAGTTGCAGGAAATAGCCTGTGCCAGCATCCATTTGAAGAGTAAATATTAGTCTTTTCAAGAGCTGCCTGTTCTCTGTCACTCAGCACCGAGGCCACTGAGCCAGGGGCGGGAGGAGGGGACCTTTTGGTCCTCACACCCAAATGGACTCTGTGGGCCCAGGCTACTGCTACAGCAGGGCCTCAGCAAGCAGCGTCCGTGTGCAGACAGGCATCCTCTCCCACTCACTCACAAGCCAGCTCCTGAGCCCCTACATGGGGGAGATTCGGGAGACTCTGGCTTTCCTGAAATGGTTTTCTCCTAAAGCCACTTCACCAAGATGAGCCTGAGGGAGGGTGGAGGCAAGTAAAGGCCATTTCAAGAAGGAAGTTAGGATGGAGGGAAGAGGAAAGCCCCCTGTGGGTAGTTGGTGGAGCAGGGAAGGGAAGAATGTCAGACATGTATCCTGTCCTCACCCTCTGGAATGAGGTCTTGAGGGGGCAGAAGTTGAAAATTGGACATAGAGGGGCCACTGTGCCCACTAGGAGACCCTGCTAGAGTGGTGTGGATTTGATGGCCTCCCCCGGCTCCCAGGTAGCTAGAAGGGATCCAGGAGTGTCTGTGTGCTCATGGGACACGAAGAAGGTGGCTGAGTTGGAGCTGGCTTGTGAGTGAGTGGGAGAGGATGCCTGTCTGCACACGGAGGCTGGTTGCTGGGCCCTCTGTTGTGGAAGGAGCCTGGACCCACAGAGTCCATTTGGGTGTAGGGACCAAGA